CGGCACGCTACATTGGAGACGAGGGCGCTCACGCGCGAAGTTACGCGGGCAGCTTACGCGCCAATGTCGGCGCAGACGACCCCCTTCTCTGGCGTCGCTCACGTGTAGGTGTAGGTGAGTTTGAAGTCGGACATGTCCTCCTACAGGCGGATTCTGGAAGAACAGTGAAAACTAGTCATAAAAAAGGCTCCAGGAATTCAAAGTGGTAGAAGCATCGTGCACGGACTATGTTCTGACTACTTTTGAATACTCCTCTCGAGTACCCCCCTCGTAGAGGGACATGCCCGACTGAAAGCTAGTTCCCTTGATCCAAGAGCCCAAGCACCGACCTCGCCTCAGCCCTGGTTCGTTGTTCGCTTCGTTGTCACTGACCCATCTCCTAAAGATGCGGTCATTGTTTTTGCAATTGTTCAGATCAGCGCGAGAGCGAATCCCTCCTGCCTCCCTCCCCACTCCCCCCCCCATCCTAACTCGACTCCTACCCATATATACCCCTCCCTCCCCCGAAACAAATCTGCGTGCCTTCCACGTCCCTCCTCCTATTTTCCTCCTTCACCTCTATCGTCTTCTTCCCCTTCCTCCTATTCCTCCTCCTCCTCCTCTCTCACGTACCTCCTCCGCCGTCCCCTCCTCTCCTCACTCCTCGTCCATCCTCAACATTCACCTATTCCCCTGAAACATGAGGAAACTTCTCCCGTCGCAACACCCGTGGGGCCCTCAGATGGGCATCAGAATCCACCCCCGCCGTCGAAAGAGAGGGGCCCCCGTTCCCCGCCACTCTCGCCCCGATGGCCGCGCCACCCACACCCCCCCGCCCAGAGGCCCCCAACCCCCTTCTGGCACAGACGACGACGCCGCGCGGCCCCCTGCGCCAGCTGCGTCGACAAGGAGCTTCCTGGAGTTCCCCTTGTCACCCCCCATCCTGAGGAGGAGGAGAGGATGAGGAGGAGAAGAGGAGGAGGTTTATGATGCTCCTACATACTTTGGCCTGGGCCACCAGGAAGAGTTTCGAGCACCAAGCCAGAACCGAAACTCGAAGGGTTTTCACTTGTCGGGCCCTGGGAGACACTCGTTCAACACCGTTTCGACACCAACTCGACAGTGCTTTGACACTTTTCTGGGGGCTCGAAATTATGTCTGGGTCGTGGCCCTTAAGTACGATGGGAGCAACATAAGAGGAGGTTCCTCTATCCAATCGCCTATCCAATCGCCTCCCAGATCCCTATGCACGGATCCCTGGTTCCCTGGATCCCTGGAAGACAGCCCCTGGATCCCTGAAGTGAAACCATTGGATCTCTGTATCCAAATAATCTATCCCCGGGATCCCTACAGATTCTCACTTTTAGGTGGTCCGTGCTATCCAGCCCAACGGGGCAGCTCAAGAGCAACACAAGAGGAGGTTCCCCTTGCCCCCCCCCCCAACCTGAGGCGCAATGACTCCAGAGCCCATCGAGTCATGAAGAAATCACGACGGGAAACTCTTCGCTATCTTCGGCCTCTCCGGAGGCCCTCACCGGGCCTCAAGACCGTCAAAAAGCGACTCGGGACGAGAAGCTAATCCCGGGGAAGGGGTGAAGACAGCTGGGGGTCGACGTCATGACAACAATCGTGACGTCGGAGGTCTGGGCCGGGGGTGGGGACTGCCTTAGGGGAGGGAACAACATCGACGTGGAAGCGGCGATGCATCGCCGATAGATCCGCGATAGGCCCCCGATCGCAAATCCGCCCGTTCCTGGGCGAGGTGGGGCTATCAGAGAATCAGAACCCTGTCGGTGATCAATGGGCGATTGATTGGGGGTCGATGCATTTCCCCCATATGCCTATCCAACCCTACCGTTGCCCCAGACATAAGAGGCCTCCTGGATGGGGTCCGAGTAGATGGGGTCGGAAGATCGCGCTACATCGACCATTGGTATGGAGAAACTCGGGCTCCGCATCGAACCGCATCGCTGATGCATCGGCGATGCGGCGAGATCCTTCCTATCGACTCGGACCTCATCTAGGAGGCCTGGAGTGCACGGTTTCGCCCTGGGCCGTAGGCGACCCGAGGACGAGGAGGAGAAGACGAAACAGGATGAGGAGGAAGAAGGAGGAGGAGGGAGGAGGGAGCAGGAGCAGGAGGAGGAGGCGGAGGAGGAGGAGGAGAGGGTAGCAGGAGGAGAGGAGGAGGATGAGGGGTGGAGGAGGCCGAGGAATAGGAGGAAGGAGGAGGAGGAGGAGGAGGAGGAGGAGGAGCGAAGATAGGAGGAGCGAGGAGGAGGAGGAGGATGGGAAGGAGAGGAGGAGGAGGAGCGAGGGAGGAGGAGGAGGAGGAGGAGAGGAAGAGGAGGAGGAGGAGGAGGAGGAGGAGGAACAAGGAGGAGGAGGAGGAGGGAGGATGAGGAGGGAGGAGGAGGGAGGGAGGAGGGGTCGCCTAAGCCCTCCAGGGAGACCCTCCCGCCCGAAGGCATCCTCGCGGCCGGGTCCACCTTCCTGCACTCCAGCCCGAACTTCGAGAGGCAGGCCTCCTGCGCCTCGGGCCTCAGCGCCTCGAACCGGTGCACGAAGAGGCGCTGCTCCTGCATCACCTATAGGACGAAGCCAGGACGAGGACAGCATCGGGCGAGGATAAATCGAGAATCTCTGAGATCCCCAGAGATCCAACGCATTGAAATAATCAAAACGGAAATTGTTCGCAATGTTTGGCCTGTAGGGGCCCTCGCCGGGCCCCGGGACCGTCAAAAAACGACTCTAGATGAAAAACCGGTCCTGGGGAATGGGTCGAGACATCCGGAGACCCCGCATTGAACAAAATCACGACATCAGATCTCTGGGAACATGGATTAGCGATCCATGGATTTCGCGCGCGGTCACCAAATCCATGGATCGGGGGAGGTGCCTTCCCCAAAATGAGGCCGGTGCCGCCCCGTTCGGCGGCGGAATTCGCGATTTCCTACGGAAACGGGGCCCGTCGCTAATCCACGCCCCCTTGATCCATGTCTGCGATCGCCTGGCTATAGGACGGCTCTGACGGCGTTCCGGAGCTGTCTGGAACGGATTATCCTCGTCCTAGCCCCGTCGGTGGGGGCGTTGGTTAAGGAATGCGCCCAGGAGGCTCTAGACCCTGGATGGTTCCTTCTCTGATGAGGGCGGCGTTGATATCCATGGCCGATCCACGATTCGAGCTGAACCAGCTTCCAGACCCTGCATTCCTTACCGAAGGGTTCCTTGTCCACCGTCCGATCACCAGCCAGTCGCGCGCGTCGCGCGTCTTGCAGAAAGCGATCCTGAGGGCGTAGTGCGAGATCGCGTCCCGACGCACGAAGTCCGCCTTCTGCTCCGAGAACGCGTCGCCGGCAGAGGCCTCTCTGGGGGCACAGCAAGGCGCCATTACCGCCATTCTCTGGACCTCTCCGGGGGTGCGTTCTGGCTGGAGCTTCGAAGCGAACCCGGCCGTGGCGACGATGGAAGGGCGGCGCGGTATCCGTACCTTCTTCCCTCTCCTGCAGGCCTTTGGATAGTTCAGGGACAGGCGCGTCTCGCTGAGCTCCCTGCCGACCTTGCCCTTCAGCTCCGCGACGCCCTCCAGCCGCGTGTCGTAGCCGCACGCGCGGTCGAGGACGTGCAGCACCCTCAGCCTGGGTGGTGTGTGTGTGGGGGGGGGGGGGGCGAGCAGCATCGCCAGATGGGGGGAGGAGGGGGGGGCGATTTGCAGGGGGGAGAGGGGAGAGACGGATCCCCCGGTGCGAGAGGAGTAGAGGGGAGGAGAAAAGGAGGAGGAGGAGGAAGCGGAGGAGGCCGGAGGCGGAGGAGTCGGAGGCGGAGGCGGAGCAAGCCTGTCGCGCCGCGAGAATCCTCGAACTCCCGCACGCTCACTTCCGCGCGCGGGGCGAGAGCGCCGGCGGCGCGCGTCGGCGCGCGCGCGCGCGGAGGCGGGGCGAGGGGGCGCCGCCCCGTCGGGGGGGGGGGGGCGGGCTAGCAGAGTCCCGGAGGCCTCCCCGATGTTCAGGTCGAGCATGTCTGAAGGGGCCCTGGGACACGCAGATAAATACACCCTGCGAAATGCTTAAGAAATCATGGGTTACGAAATTCATAGTCTCAGAACTTGAATAAAAAGCCGGAACTTCTATCAAAATCTTGGGATTTTCACTGAAACGTTAAGAATAATCGAGACTCTGGACGAAAACTTAGGTTTTCTTAAGCATCGCCGAAGGTGTACACACGCGCAGGTAAAAGGATTCCCCATATTGCCCCATATGTTCCGGGTGTTCGTCTTCCCCCCCACTTCCCACATTATCCCATATCTTCGGGGGGAATCGAAGGTTACTTGTGTCTGTGTGCGTGTGTGGTTTGTCCCTCCTGTATGTCCTCCTGTAGAATCCTAAGAGATTCTACAGGAGGACATACAGGCATCGTCCCCGGCGGGCTCCTATAGAATCCGAGAGGCCTCTTAGTTTTTATGCTGCCCCCATCGCACTTAAGGACCACGTCTCAGAAATAATTCCGAGCACCCAGAATATTATCGAAACGGTACCGAACGAGTGTAGCCTCCCAGGGCCCGACGCGGCAAACCCCTTCACCTTCGGTACTTTCCCGGTGCTCGAAACTCTTTCTGGTCGGGCGCGTCCTCCTACAGGGGGATTTTGGGCGAAAAATCCGCCGGACCCCCTTGCGGGGCCATCAGGCTGCGAGGATTAAGGTTGCTGCTCCCTGTGCCAGTTCCGGTTTCCAATTTCCATTGTTACAGTACTGCTTTCTGCTTCCTACTGCAAATTCTTGCTGTCCGCGCGAGGGGGGGGAGCCGAAAACCACCCTGGTCAGGTTCCCCCAGGAGGGTTCTCAGAATTTCTGGGGGGGCGTGGGACACGTAAAAATACAAGAATTTCGTGCCCCCCCAAACCATAATCCCTTGCACATTACACTGTTTTCGCGCCCCCGAGGCCACGATCCCTCGTAAATTACGCCGCATTCGCGTCTCCGAGGCCACGATCGCTCGTAATTTACACCACATTTGCGTCTCCGAGGCCACGATCCCTGGTAAATTACTCCACACTCGCGCCCTCGAGGCCACAATCCCTGGTAATGTACACCGCATTCGCGCCCCCGAAGCCACGATCCCAAGTAATTTACATAATTTTCGCGCCCCCGAGGCCACGATCCATTGTAAATTGAAACGAGTTCGCTCCACTGACGCCACGACCCCTTGTAAATTACGCAGCGGGCGCGCCCCCGAGGCCACGACTCCGCCTTGCGGAAGCTGCCGAAAAGGCGCTCCCCCTTTCCAAAGCAGAACAACGATAATTTTCTGTATTGGGATATGTGCTCCGCTGGTATTCTTTTGCCCCCCCCCCCGTTTCTGGAAAATTTGGCGGTGGGTTCCATATTCACCCTCCCAGGCCACGATCCTAGTTAAGTTGCACCCGCATTTGTCCTCCTCCTCCTCCTCCTCTCCTTGCTTTCCCTCCTCATTCTCCTCACCATCCTTCCTCCGCCTCCTCCTCCTCCTCCTCATCCTCCTCCTCTCATCCTCCACATCCCCTGTTCCTCCCTACTCTCCTCTCTACTCTTCTTGCTCCTGCTCCCTGATCCTCCTCCTCCTCCTCCTTTCCTCCTTCCCTCCTTCCTCCACCTCCTCCCTCCTACCCTCATGATCTCATACCCCCCTCCCTGCCCCTACCCCCTCCCATCCCCGCTCCCCTCCTGTCAAGCCCTTCCTCCTCCCTCCTCTCCATCCTCTCTCACCTGCCTCCTCCTCCTCATCATCTTCCTTTCCTTCCTCTTGTCTCCTCCTTTTCTTATACTTTTCTTCCTCCTTTCTTCCTGCCCTCTCCTCTTCCTCATCCTCTTCCTACCTCCTCCTCCTCCTCCTACCCCTCTCCTTTTTCCCATTTCCTCCTCACTGCCACCTTCCTCCTTTTCCTCCTCCTCCTACTCTTATCGCTGCTCTTCTTTCTCTACTCCTCCTCCTCTCCTCCTCCTCTTCCTCCTCCTCCTCCTCCTCCTCTTCTTCTTCTTCTTCGGATTATTATTAGTCTTATTCTTCTGCTTCTTCTTCTTCTGCTTCTTCTGCTTCTTCTTCTTCTTCCTCCTCCTCCTCCTCCTCCTCCTCCTCCTCCTCCTCCTCCTCCTCGGGTCGCCTACGGCCCCAGGGGAAACCGTGCCCCCCTACCTCCTTGCGCGCGCTAGCCCATGCAGTCAACGCGCCTAATATGGACGCACGCCTTCGTCTAGGGCACCCTTGTGTCCTAGCCTCTGCTGCCCTCCTCTGCCGTTTTCGCTGGTCGCCCGCCGCCAAAAAAATCCCAACTTCGGCATCCAAAGATTTTGCGTCCTTACCACCCGTCCTGAACACACGTTTTGACTGAAGTTTTTGTTGAAACTGCGCCTCGGCGAGGGCGTCCCTGGGGCGCCCGAGTGGAGCTCCACGCGCTGCTCTAGCGCGCCACGCGCCACGAGGACCTCCTGCCCGTGCGGGCGCCGCGCATCGGAATCTTCCTGGCAGGGCCGCCGGAAGGCTTGCGGAAGCAGCTGGGGCAGTTTGCTGCGCGCACGAACCAGTGCAGAAGGGAACGGACGGCCGTCGCCAGGGAGCTGGACCTCAACGAGTTTATCCGGGAGGCTTGACCTGAGGAGCGACCCGCCCGAGCCCCGCCGTCTCTCGACGTTTAGACTGCTTGGCTTCACGCCGCTGGCGAACCGCGCGCGTCGCTGGGACCCTCTCGGGGCGACCAGCACGCGTCGCGGGGACTCCGTGCGGCGCCGCGCCCGCAGCCTTGGACACGGGCGCGCGCGGGCAAAGAGGGAGAAACAAAAAAGGGGATGATGCGGGCGCGATCCTCGTGAGGGGCGTGCCGACATGGGCGTTGCATTTATGCACGTAGACTCACGCGCGCGCAGACTCATTCACAATCAGATTTACTCGCGCTCACGCTCACCCGCTCTCTTTCGCACACAGACCTAACGTCTTCGTTCGCTTTGTGTGCTCCGCCACGCAAATCGGTACGCCCCTCACACGGTCCGTGATGATTCAGAATTGCAATATTCACAACTGCGTATGGTTGGTTCCTTCGCCCCGATAATGTTTGAAATTTACTCCTGGGGAGGGTCATGTCCGAGTAAAGAAAAAACACAAAACACGGCATAAGCATAACATGTCGCCGGTCCGCGCGGAGCGCCAACAACTTGTGTGTTTGGGCGTGTTTTCTTCGACAAGAGTGACCTTCCGTGTACGAGGCCGCACAGGTACGACGAAGCCAGGACGAGGACAACATCCACGGAAGGCCCAACAGCAGATCCAGGAAATCCGCGCGGACCTCCGAAAGTTTATGCTTGAGCAGCTTGTTGTTCTTCGAGTTTAGACGAGCGCGCTCCCCTACTCGCACAGTGGCTGCTCGCACATGGCCTGGAGCCGCCGCGAGGGATCTGCGATCTACCACGCCGAGGCGAACCTGTGCTTCTCCGACGTTCTGCGGGTAGGCACTTTTTGTTGAGCAGGGACCGACCGTCCCGGCATTCCTGTAGTCCTACCACGAAATGTTCTTAGAACCCAAAAATGTTCTATTAACAAAAACAAGGTTCTTAGAACATAATCCCGATGTGTTAAAACAAGACAATATCAACCAGAAATGTTCTAAGACCATTTCGTGGAAACCACAACAGGTTCTTAGAACATTGTTTGGTAGGGCTATAGGCGAGCCAGGACGCTTCGCCACTGCTTGATTATGCGAGTGTTATGTCGGGCGTGTCCCCCTACAGGGGGATTTTCGACGAACCAAAAAACAGAAGGTAACAAAAATACTCAAACAATAGTCCCCAGACTATTTTTGGATTGTCGAAAATCCCCCTGTAGGGGGACAGGCCCGACGTAATGCGAGTGGTGGAGCGCGCCCGGTGAGAGTAGTTGTGGCCACCGCCCGCCCGACGCGTGCGCGCCGCCGGAGGCTCCAGGTAGAACGACAGGCCCAGGTCGTCCGCCCCGAAGGCCCCGCCTCCGCCCTGCTGGTGAGGGGCAACGATAGGGGGGGGGAATGGGCACAGTTGGAGGCCTGGAAGTTGGCACCAACTCCAACACAGGGGGGTTGCCTCCGCGGGGGGAAGAGGATCCTAGATTTCGGTGCTGGTGGTACTACTTCGGTCACCTCGGAAGCCAGAATAGTACCGCCACCACCGAGATCGGGATCCTCTTCCCTCGGCGGAGGCACACCGCCGATCTTGGTGTTGGTGTCAACTTCTAGGCCTGCGACATAGGGGATGCATAGACCTAGAATCGGCCATACATCGTCGATAGATCGGCGATCGGCCTCCGATAGTGGATCCGCACCTTCCTGGGCAGGTTGGGGCTATCGGGCCCCTATCGGCGATCAATGGGCGATTGGGGGTCGATGCATCCCCCCCTATGCCCATCCCCCCCTATCGTTGCCCCTGAGCTGGGCGCCGCCGGCGCCGCCGGCGCCCGGCGGGGCGCCGGCGCGTGAGACGCGCTGCATGCCTGCAGCGCTGGCCGGCGCGCGCCCCTCGGCGCGGGGCGCCCGCGCGGAGGGCGCGGGGAGCGCCCGAGGGCGGCAGCGCGGCAATGGGGGAGCGGCAGCGGAGGGGGGGGAGCGGGGAGGGAGGCGAGGGCGGGGGGGCGGGGCGGAGGGGGGAGGGAGCGATGGGAGGGGCGGGGGGGGGAGGAGGCGGCAGGAGGAGGCGGAGGAAGAGGAGGAGGAAAAGGGGGGGGGGGAGGAGAGGGAGGAGGCGGAGGAGGAGAACCAGTGTAAACCCGAGAGTCACCGACGATGTTGGAATAAACCCTCCCCCAAGCTCCCTCTTCATAGGCCCCTACAACGGCTCATTTCCACAAAAGGAACTGCCTCGTTGGGAGACAACCGGTTGAAGACCCCGAATTGCGCCAGACCGCCACTCCTGGGACCCCAACACCGCGAACCATCGTAACTGTTGCACCCTCATAATCGTGAATCCTTCCAATACACCACTTCGGATACGTCGATCATGGGGATCCGATTAACTCTTGCATGTTTTAACGAGATCGCGCGGCGCCAAGGCGAGAGCCGCATTTTGAAAAGAAGCCGGCCTCAACCCGCGAAGCTCTTGCAAGTTTGTTAAGCGAATGTGCGCGGCGCTAAGGCGAGAGCCACGTTTTGAAAAAGAACCGCCCTCAATCCGCGAAGCGCCTGCAAAGTGTTAAAACGAATGTACGCGGCGCTGCAGCGATAACCACATTTTGAAACGACCCGCCCTCATTCAATATGTGAAACTCTTGCATTTGTTTAGAACGAATGTGTGAGGCTCCAAGGAGAGAGCCACATTTTGGAAGCCACCCGCCCTGAATTCGCGAAAGTCTTGCACTTGTTAAAAACGAGTGTGCGCGGCGCTCAAGCGAGAGCCACATTTTGAAAACGATCCGCCCTCCATCTGTGAAACTGTTGCACATGTTATGCTCCAGGGTCATAAATGGTTAGAAAATCTCAGGCGAAACGCCCGGACCGTCCTAAAACTTTGCCTCGGGTTGCGGCAGGGAAAAGTTATTTATAAGGAAAAGGAATGGAGTGGGGGGGTGGAGAGGGAGTGCAGGGGGAAGGCAGGGTGAGCCAGAAGGATGAAGGGGGGACACTGAGGAGGATGGAAACCGACGAGGAGGGACGGGATGAAGATCGGAGGAGAGGATTGGGGGGGGGCGGGGGGGTGAGGAAAGTGAGGAAAGGAGGGAGGATGGGGAGGACAAAGGGGGGCGAGAAGGGAGGATGGGAAGGGAGTGCGAGAGATCGGCCGAGATGAGAGGACAGCAGGACAGAAACCGCATCGGGGGGACAGGAGGATCCTCTACTCCACCTGGCCACAACGCTTGGCCGCCCACTGCGAGGAGGTAGCTTGGCAAGGAGGCAAAAATTAGCCTGGCGAAGGACCCAACCATAAGCAGTTGTGAGTACCGCAATTATGAATATCTTCTTCGGTGGAGCCCCCTATGAGGCCACGAAGCGCTGTACTGGGCGGGTGAAACGCAGGGAGGAGGGGGAGGAGGGCCACGAAAGGGGGGACGCATGCGGCGGTGCCACTGGGACCTTCGGTGGAGCCCCCTATGGGGCCACGAAGCGCTGTACTGGGCGGGTGAAACGCAGGGAGCCAAGGGCTGTGCTGGGCGGTGGCTGACGCATGCGGGCGGTGCCACTGGGACCTTCGGTGGAGCCCCCTATGGGCCACGAAGCGCTGTACTGGGCGGGTGAAACGCAGGGAGCAAGGGCTGTGCTGGGCGGTGGCTGACGCATGCGGGCGGTGCCACTGGGACCTTCGGTGGAGCCCCCTATGGGGCCACGAAGCGCTGTACTGGGTGGGTGAAACGCAGGGAGCAAGGGCTGTGCTGGGCGGTGGCCGGCGCATGCGGGCGGTGCCAGTGGGACCTTCGGTGGAGCCCCCTATGGGGCCACGAAGCGCTGTACTGGGCGGGTGAAACGCAGGGAGGAGGGGGAGGAGGGCCACGAAAGGGGGGACGCATGCGGACAGTAGACCTGGAACCTTCGGTGGAGCTCCCTATGGGGCCACGAAGCGCTGTACTGGGTGGGTGAATTGCAGGGAGGAGGGGAAGGAGGGCCACGAAACGCTGTACTAGGTGGGGGGGACGCATGCGGACGGTAGGCTTGGAACCTTCGGTGGAGCTCCCTATGGGGCCACGAAACGCGGTACTGGGTGGGTGAAACGCAAGGAAGAAAGGGATGAGGGCCACGAAACGCTGTACTGGGTGTGGGGGGCGCATGCGGACGGTAAACCTGGAACCTTCGGTGGAGCTCCCTATGGGGCCACGAAACGCTGTACTGGGTGGGTGTAACGCAGGCGGGAGGGGGAGGAGGGCCACGAAACGCTGTACTGGGTGTGGCGGGGACGCATGCGGACGGTAGACCTGGAACCTTCGGTGGAGCTCCCTATGGGGCCGCGAAGCGCTGTACTGGGTGGGTGAAACGCAGGGAGGGGGGGAAGGAGGGCCACGAAACGCTGTACTGGGTGGGGGGGACGCATGCGGACGGTAGACTTGGAACCTTCGGTGGAGCTCCCTATGGGGCCACGAAACGCTGTACTGGGTGGGAGTAACGCAGGGAGGAGGGGGAGGAGGGCCACGAAACGCTGTACTGAGTGGAGGGGACGGACGGTAGACATGGAACATCCGGTGGAGCTCCCTACGGGGCTACGAAACGCTGTGCTGGGTGGGTGAAACGCAGGGAAGAGGGGGAGGAGGGAGGAGGAGGGGGAGGAGGAGAGGAGGGAGGAGGAGGAGGAGGAGGAGGAGGAGGAGGAGGAGGAGGAGGAGGAGGAACGCGGGGACCATCTCTGCAAAACGAGGACCTAACACCACAGGATGGTTAGGAAAAAGGAACGATCGGAGAGATGTGGAGGGCGGAGGGAGGAATCCGGACGAGGGAGGTGGCAGGCGGAGGATGAGAGGAGAGGGAGGAGGACGACGACGAGGAAAAGGACGAGGAAGTGGTTGAGGACAATGTAGCGGAACATGGAAGGAGGAGGGATGAGGACGGCCACGAGGAGGGAACAGGAGCGGGAGGAGGACAAGGAGGATGGAAGGTGAGAGGAGAGAAGGGAGTTACGGCGCAGATCCGCCACCACCGGGGCGAGGGAGGCGAGGGCCACGAAGGAGAGCGAAGAGGGAGAGGAGACAGAGAAGGAAGCGCGGTACGGGAGGAGGACGAGCAGGGAGAGGGAAACGAGACGAGGAGAACCCGGAGGGAACGAGACGAGGTGACGGAGACGCACCCTCCTCCTCCTGCCTCCCTCCTCCTCCTCCCTCCTCCTCCCTCCCTCCTCCTTGCCTCCTCCCTGCCTCCTCCCTCCCGCCTCCCCGCTCCTGCCGCGAGGAGGGTAAGCCGTCGCCGACGTGGCCGCTGCCAGAGGCGGCGGACGGAGATCTCCCCGGGCGGAGCGGGCGGCTGGCAGCCTGCCACTCCATGCGGATCAGCTCCAGGTGCAGGAAGAGCAGCTCCCGCGGCCTCGCGACCAAGGGGCCACGCAGGCGGCGGCCGACGGCGGCGGCCGACGGCGACGGACGCTGCCTAGAGAGCTCCAAGACGGCCCGAGGGGGCCCCAATGGCCGACGACAGCCCCAGGACCGCCGAAGACAGTCCCGAGACGGCCTGGGACGACCTCCAAAACTGTCCAACACATGAAAACAAAAGGTGCCAGATGTGACAGCTTTCCTTTTCATCGTTCTCCTCCTCCTCCTCCTCCTCCTCCTCCTCCTCCTCCTCCTCCGCCTCGTCATCGCCACTGGGCTGGCAGTGTGCCGGGACTTGCCGCAAGCAATTGGATTTGTGTCCAGCAGCGTAGCAGGTCGTGAGATATGCCTACGGAATTACGAGACCCTGCTCTCCAATATCCGCCGGCCCCCTTGTGGGGCCGTCAGGCTGCGAGGATCGGTTTGATGCTCCCTGCATCAGTTGCAGCTTCCAGTCTCAAGTGTCACAGTCCTGCTTTCTGCTTCCTATTGTAAATTGTTCAAGTCCGCACGGGGGGGGAGCCCCAAACCGTACGATTACCATCGCGTTGTAAGAATTCCTGCGGGGCCTTGGGACACATACAAATACATACAATTCGCGCTCACGGCGCAATAATCCCTCGGATAAAACACTGTACTCGCCCCCGAAACAACGATACCTCGAACATTGCACTACATTCGCGTCCGCGAAGCTACGATCCCTCGTAAAATGCACAACAGTCGCGCCCCCGAGGGCACGACCTCCCGTAGATTACGTTACGTTCGCGCCTCCGGGGCCACGATCCTTAATAACATTGCAGCAAGATTGCGCCCCCGAGGCCACGATCCCACGGAAATTATACAATGGTCTCGTCCCCGAGGCAAGTCGACCATGCAACTGATTTAATTTGCGCGTCCTCGAGGCAGCAAACCCACGTACATTACACAAGATTCGCGCCCCCGAAGCCATTCACCCTCGCCAGTGATACAAGTGTTGCGCCCCCGAAGCAAGCCCACGTACATTATTAAAAGTCTGTGTCCCCGAAGCAACACACCCTCGCAATCTACGCCATATTCGCGTCCCGAAGCCAGAATCCGTTTTGAATTGAATAGTACTCGCGTCCCCGAGGCCACAACCCCTCGCACATTGCTCAGCTGTTGCGCCCCCGAAGCCAGATTCACTGGCTCCTCTTCTTCCTCCTCCTCCTCCTCTTTGTATATTTGTTTCCTCCTCCTCCTCCCCCTCCTCCTCCCTCTCCACCTCCGCCTCCTCCTCCTATTCCTCCTCCTCCTGTTCCTCGCGTCGCCGAGGCCACAAACCCTTGAACACTGTTGCAATATTGCGTCCCCGAGGCGACACCCCCACGTAAAGTATTCAAGACTCGCGTCCACGTGCAGCCCGGCGCCCCGCGAGTCCACGGAGGCTCGCTCTCTCGCGAAACGGCGGAAGGCCGCTCAGAACGCGGTTACGTCTGTGCCGGACGACGAGAAGGCACTCGCAATCCAGAACCATCCAGTCGGCTTCAGGGCAGACGCTGCATGGGGCGAGT